TCACACTCTCGACCTTGTTCTGACTTATGGTATTGAAATTGAGCAACTATTAGTCGAACCGCATAATCCTGCTTTATCCGACCATTTCTTAGTAACTTTTGAAGTACTGTTACGAGACTACAAAGCATTAGTCAAAAGCTCCTGCAGCAGAAACCTATCTGTTAGTGCTATAGCCACATTTAAGGAAGAGATTCCACCAATACTTAACTCGATAGCATGTCTGCATGTAAGGGAGGAAACTTATACAAAATGTACACCACCCCAAATTGATCATGTTGTTGATAGTGCTACAGATGCGCTGCGAATAAAATTAGACTCTGTTGCTCCTTTGAAAAAGAAGAAAATAAAACAACATAGATTAGCTCCATGGCATAATGCCCAAACCCGCAAAATAAAGCAAAAGTCGAGACAACTTGAAAGGATATGGCGTTCCACTAAACTTGAAGAATCTCGTTTAATTTGGCATATTACTCTCAATGAATATAAGAAAGCACTGCGTAAAGCGAGAGCAGCCTACTACTCTTCATTAATAGATGAGAATAAGAATAATGCAAGATTTCTTTTCAGCACTGTAGCCAGGCTGACAGAAAGCCACAGCTCGATTGAGCCTTCTATTCCCATAGCACTAAGTAGTAATGATTTTATGTGCTTTTTTAACGATAAAATTGTTACTCTTAGAAACAAAATGAATGACCTCTTGTCTTTGACCAGTATAGTGTTATCAACAGCTCCCGGAAACGTAAGTTCTAATATTACACTAGATAGTAAACTAGAATGCTTTTCAGCCATAAACCTTGACCAATTAAATTCAATGATTCTCTCTTCTAAACCATCAACGTGTATGTTAGACCCAATTCCAACTAAGCTGTTGAAGGAAGTTTTTCCATTAATTAGCACTTCTTTATTAAATATTATGAATATGTCTTTATTATCAGGATATGTTCCACAATCATTCAAAGTAGCAGTGATAAAACCGCTTCTTAAAAAGCACAACCTCGATCCAGAGGTTTTAGCCAATTATAGACCTATTTCTAATCTTCCGTTCCTCTCAAAAATTATTGAGAAAGCGGTCGCAAAACAGTTGTGTGATTACTTAAAAAACAATGATTTATTTGAAGCTTTTCAGTCTGGCTTTAGAACACATCATAGCACAGAGACAGCTCTGGTTAAAGTCACAAATGACATTCTAATAGCCTCTGACAAGGGACGTGTCTCTATTCTTGTTTTGCTCGATCTCAGTGCTGCATTTGATACTATCGACCATGATATCTTATTGCAAAGACTAGAGCACTTAGTTGGCATACAGGGAACTGCTTTAGACTGGTTTAGGTCCTATCTATCTGAACGCTCTCAGTTTGTACGTGTCAATGATTCATCTTCCACGCAAACCAAAGTTAGCCATGGAGTGCCACAGGGCTCAGTGCTCGGACCTATTTTGTTCACATTATATATGCTTCCGTTAGGCAATATTTTAAGGAATCATTCTGTACATTTTCATTGTTATGCGGATGATACTCAACTATATTTATCAATCAAGCCTGATGAAATTAATCATCTAAATACAATTCAAGACCGCCTCAAGGACTTAAAAACGTGGATGACTTTAAACTTTTTGATGTTAAACACGACCAAAAGTTATTGTACTTGGCAAAAGTTATTGTACTTGGCCCGAAGAATCTACGAAACAAATTATCTAAGGATATACTAACTATGGATGGCATTAATTTGGCCTCCAGTGAGACTGTAAGGAATCTTGGTGTTATATTTGATCAGGATTTATCCTTTAACGCCCACATAAAATCAATTTCAAGGACCGCCTACTTCCATCTACGTAACATTGCAAAAATCAGGCATATCTTGCCTCAAAACGATGCAGAGAAACTAGTCCATGCATTTGTTACTGGATTATTGTAACTCTTTATTATCAGGGTGTACCAAGAAGTCAGTCAAGTGGCTTCAGCTGATTCAAAATGCTGCAGCTCGTGTACTAACCAGAGTTAGGAAAAGGGACCACATTACTCCTGTTCTGGCTGCCTTACACTGGCTCCCTATAGAACACAGGATAGAATTTTAAATTCTTCTTCTCGCCTACAAAGCCCTTAATGGGCAGGCGCCATCTTACCTTAAATAACTCATTATACCCTACTGTCCTACTAGGGCATTGCGTTCCAAGAATGCAGGGTTGTTGGTTGTTCCTAGAGTCTCTAAAAGTACAATGGGAGCCAGAGCCTTTTCTTATCAAGCTCCACATTTGTGGAATCAGCTTCCAGTTTTTGTTCGGGCGGCAGACACCCTATCCGTTTTTAAGAGTGTGCTTAAGACCTTCCTTTTTGATAAAGCTTATAGTTAGGGCTGATTAGATTCAGCCCCTAGTTTTGCCGATATAGGCTTAGTTTGTCGGGGGACATCTTACTTCTTCCTTCTCTCTGTCTATACCTGTGTACTCTCATGTTCCCATTAACCCAGCTTCCCCAAATGTCTTTCTTTTTGGTGTCTATATACGCCGGGATCTGGAGTCATGGATGATCCTGCGCTCCTCTGTCCTGGATCGCGAGCCCTGGATCTTGAGTCGTGGCTGTGGTCCTGGATCATAGGTCCTGGATGGATATCCTCGTGGATTCATCTTCCTATTATACACACATGCATTTCCAAACATTTGGACTACCTATGTTGCAAATGTATTATCTTTTCAATTTACACATGGCATCTATTGCACGTCTGTCCGTCCTGGGAGAGGGATCCCTCCTCTGTTGCTCTCCCTGAGGTTTCTCCATGTTCCCTTTAAACTGTGGGTTTTCTTCGGAAGTTTTTCCTTGTACGATGTGAGGGTCTAAGGACAGAGGGTCTAAGGACAGAGGGTCTAGGGACAGAGGGTCTAAGGACAGAGGGTGTCGTATTGTCATACTGATATTTTGTACAAACTGTGAAGTCCACTGAGACAAATGTAACATTTGTGATATTGGGCTATAAATAAACATTGATTGATTTGATTGATTGATTGATTGATTGATTGATTGATTGATTGATCAAGTGGCACCTGCTAACGGGGTGGTGGATGATAGGTTTACATCTAAAAACGTATTTTTCAAACATTATTATTTTTATTTTATTTTTATTTCTTTTGTTACTTTTTTTTTTAACGGTCCGCGATCTACCCGCACTACACTCCAGCGGCGATCGACCTGTTGGCGACCACTGATCTAGATCCTCTGTCTCGAGCTAGTTAACAGGAGTACCTGGAGCCTAGGGGAACTCTGAAAGAACACGCCCATTGGCTCCAAATCAATATCTGATTGGTTGATCAAACTGTCAGTCCAAACCTACGCTCTCATTCAGTGCAACGGCCAGGGCCTTCGATCAAGGATGTAGAATACCTTGGTGAAGGATATTCTACCCAGAGACCCAGAACAAGATCTGATTGGTTGCTTTCTTTTCGAACACAACACCACTCAATGCGTAGTGCATGGTCCGAGAAGGACAAACAAATCAACGTAACACTGTGATATTACAGATCAACAACACGGATACCATTCTCATTTATTCATTTCATTACATTTGATTTATATAATTAAATCAATGTTTTGTTTGTTTTATCTGAGTGCAGGCTGTTCTCTGGATACCTTGAAGGCCCTGACGGTTCGCCTCTGGTAGATTCCAGTATCAACACTAATTCGGCTGACTTTTATATTTGATCCAATTGGTAGATAGGCTGTATTTACACCATAAAGGTGCACAGCTGATATAAAGGGACACCTAGTGGTTAAAGCATGTTATTGAATTTCATTATTTTTATTATTAGATATTAATAGGATCCCTATAAAGTATATTCATTACTCGTTATTCTCTACTAATAGTTCATTAAACACTGTATATAATGACTATTTTGCACATCCCTTTCAAGATTTCAAGATTTTCTAAGGTTTATTGACATATCATATAGGCCCACACAACTATGGTGTAGTTATTACACGTTTTTTTGTGAGACTGGGTTGGATTTACAGGAAAAACTGAGAACGTTGAGATTCACAAAGAAGTCAGAAATGTGAGATTATCAGAAAAAAGCAAGAATTTGGGCGATTTAGGGTAAATTTAGGAATTTTGAAATTTAAAAAAATTGTTGACATTTTCGGAAGAGAATCTTAATTTGGAGATTTACAGAAAGGAGCGAGAATTCTGGGACTTGAAAAAGCACCAAAGTGCTTCACAAAGACAGATATCGGCTGGTGAGCTCAGGTCTGCATAACAATGCTTGAAAAGACATAAAAAGAGATTATTATGTTAATTGTCTCCAGATATCTTCGACCTAACAACTGTGTTTATGTCTTAGCTTAAAAATAACTTGTCCTGTTGCCAAGCAACTGACTGCAGGACAGAAATAATGTAAAATTCAAGATGTATTTCTGTTCCTGAACAAAGTGAGTTTCAACTGATGGAAGAAACTTTTAAAGAGACGTCTTAGAATCGTCTCAGAGGTCTGACTCCACTTTAACTAATGGAACAAAACATGCATTCAAACCCTGACAGTGACGTCTCTTTATAAATGCTGACCGGTTATTAACGATAATGAGAGGCTGGGGACATTATGTTCCATATCTATATTTAAAACTACTCAATCACAGGGTTCCCATGCATCATAGAAGATACGGGGAAAACCAAGCATTTAAAGGTTCTTGAATGAGACGCAGAACATTGAGTTTCGCTTTAGTGCAGGAACATCAATGCTTTTGATATTTCTTACTGGATGAGTTTCTGTAAAGCTTCTGATTATCAAAGTTAATCAACCCTCGATCCTTGTCTAAAACTCTGCCTCGAATTTCAAGGGAATTGGAGTTTGAAATTCCTTAAATTGGATGTAAAGGGGGGGAACCCACAGTGAAACCTGAGGAAGCTGCAGCACTCACATCGTCTGATATATCAAACCTCCCGGCCTTACAGAGACAGAACAGCTGATACCTCTAGCAGACATGTTGTATATCTGAAGTGTGTGTGTGCGTGTGCAGGACGCCATGGTTCTGATCCTGAAGAGTCTGCTGCCCGGCTGCCTCTTCAACATCATCGGCTTTGGGTCCACCTTCAAGCCCCTGTTCCCGACCAGCCAGAGCTACGAGGAGGTAAACCTGAACCCATCCAGGTCCAGTATTACATTCGGGTCGATACAGTACTTCCAGAAGATAAGCCAGTTGTTGTTATTAAACTCTCCCTGGTCCCCGGCTCGAGCTTCAGTCTCAGGATCCATGTATCTGTGATCCTCTCCAGAATGGAAGGAGTCATCACATACAGAGACTAGTTCCTGAACAGTGTCCTTCACATGCTGATATCCAAGAGAGGGAGTTACACAGTCACAAGATGGAGGAATAGAAAGCAGTATTCAATGTTTACTTCAGATTAGCTCCATGTCAGAAATGAGCATGCTTGATGTCTCTCTCCATAGAGGCTGAATCATCATGTTAATCACATAGCTATCATCTGCCTCAAACAGTCCTGATGCTCTTCTAGGTAATCACACATCCTGTCATGTTCTCAGCTACAGTTGATGCCTTTGTTAGCATGCTACTCTCATGTTGGAGGAGGACACTCAGTGTTTTCACAACACCAGTTTAATATCCCTCTACATGCCTCCCCCCCTCAGGAGAACCTGGTCCAGGCCTCTGAATACGTCCGGAGGCTCCGGGGTGACATGGGAGGAACCAACGTCCTGAACCCCCTGATCTGGATCCTCCGTCAGCCCTCCTTCAGAGGACACCCCCGCCTCCTGTTCCTTATCACTGATGGAGCGGTCCGCAACACGGGGGCCGTCATCGAGCTGATCCGGAGCCAGGCCCGCTCCCTCAGGTACTGAGGGGGGGGGGTATATTAGAGGGGTATAGTCGATATGTAGATGTCCCTTAAAGCTCCCCTATTGCCTTGCTCAAGGGCACCATGGCAGGGCAGGAGGTGAACTGGGACCTCTCCAAGTAGCAGTCCACACTCCATATTTAGGTCTGTTCGGGGGCTTGAACCGGCAAACCTACGGCTCCCAGTCCAAGTCCCTTGAGCCAGTGGGCTGCCATTATGTACGGCGCCAGGGGAGCAGAGTAGGGAACGCTGCCTTGCTCATGGACACCTCAGTAGCACTTGGTCTTTCCGGGATTTGAACTGGTGACCTTCCAGTTGCTAAGCCAAGTCCCTATAGACTTCGCCACCACCGTCCTTATGCAGCGATAGACTGCCCGTCCAAAAGAAAAAAAAACCACCTGGATTTAACCTAAGCCAATCAGAGAGAGCCTTCCATTGTATAATTACTGCAGTGATTAATATGTGATAGGAAAAACTGTTTTATGTTATTTTAAGGAGATTGCTGAAACTGCTAAAGGTTAAAAATTGCCCAAGTTATTTAAACCAGATCAATGAGTCCAGACCCTGTCCCAGAGTGAGGGGTGCATCAGGGTCAGGAGACGGACAGAGAGCCTCTCTGTGAAACCTTTAACAACGTGAACAGCTGATCCTGCAGATATCAGAGGATCCAGGCCCGTCTTTCTAATGAGATGCAGAGCTCTGAAGGATCAGCAGGATCAGAGCATTCATCCGGAAGCTTTCAGAGCAAAGGAGTAACACAAAGAGAAATGATTTTATTCTGCAGCTCGGTCTCTGGAGGTAATTGAGCCCCCCTCTTTCTGATGGATGATTGCATTAGGGACTCAGAGCTCACTTCCTGAGTCATTACATGAGGGATTATTATTTATTATGCAAGGTGACATTTCCCTTTAACCCACGGACATTAGAGCGACACTGCAAGGCATTCTGGGAGCTCAGAGGAGGAGGAGAAGAAATAAAGCTTTTAGATGTTATCTGTGGAAACAAATGTTCTCCACATATATTGGTATTGATATCTTTTTGTGGCATCTGGTTATATTACAAGACATTCATTAATGTACTCTTTACTCTGCATTGTCTCTGAGCACAAACACGTCTATAAACCATATAGACGTGTGATCAGGAAACCAAATGTATGCATGGAAATAGTTTCAGTGCATCCAACCAGCATTCAGAAACTCAGCTTCACTTTATAAAGCACCTCTGCACATGGCCAATACTTGTTTGACATGCTGCTGAAACAACAACATTTCCCAATTTGTGATTAATGAAGTATATCTAACCTTTCATACAAACCTGCAGCACAAAGTGTTTTAACGAGCAGAAACACAGACTAATACATATAATCAGACACAAATATAAGCCTTTGAAAGACTTTAATCACGAGCAGGATTAGTCAATAAATAATGTTAAAAACAATGATTACATCTTAAGAATACTGATAACATTCTCCAAATTCAATCCAAATAAAAAGATAAATGTATAATTGCTTTAAAATCATACAGAGAAATAGTGCAGACGATTATGAGCAGTAAAATAAAAAGAGACATTTAAAAGAAAGCAGCGGTTCCCAACCTGTGGGCATTGCAAGTGGGCCGCCAAATAATTTGCAAAACATTATGATTTGTGTGGAAACATTTAATTATTATGATTTTTTTTATTCGAACCTCCTTTCCTTTCTCTTTCTTGATCCTCCTTAGCAACATCATTACAGTCCTTAGCAACGGTCATTACAGTCCTTAGCAACATCATTACAGTCCTTGGCAACGGTCATGACAGTCCTTGGCAACGGTCATTACAGTCCTTAGCAACGGTCATTGCAGTCCTTGGCTACGGTCATTACAGTCCTTGACAGCGGTCATTACAGTCCTTAGCAACGGTCATTACAGTCCTTAGCAACGGTCATTACAATCCTTGGCAACGGTCATTACAGTCCTTGACAGCGGTCATTACAGTCCTTGGCAACGGTCATTACAGTCATTGACAGCAGTCATTACAGTCCTTAGCAACGTTCATTACAGTCCTTAGCAACGGTCATTACAGTCCTTGGCAACGGTCATTACAGTCCTTAGCAACATCATTACAGTCCTTGGCAACGGTCATTACAGTCCTTGGCAACGGTCATTACAGTCCTTGGCAACGGTCATTACAGTCCTTAGCAACATCATTACAGTCCTTGGCAACGGTCATTACAGTCCTTAGCTACGGTCATTGCAGTCCTTGGCTACGGTCATTGCAGTCCTTGACAGCGGTCATTACAGTCCTTGACAGCGGTCATTACAGTCCTTGACAGCGGTCATTACAGTCCTTAGCAACGGTCATTACAGTCCTTAGCAACGGTCATTACAGTCCTTAGCAACGGTCATTACAGTCCTTAGCAACGGTCATTACAGTCCTTAGCAACGGTCATTACAGTCCTTGGCAACGGTCATTACAGTCCTTGACAGCGGTCATTACAGTCCTTGGCAACGGTCATTACAGTCATTGACAGCAGTCATTACAGTCCTTAGCAACGTTCATTACAGTCCTTGGCAACGGTCATTACAGTCCTTGGCAACGGTCATTACAGTCCTTGGCAACGGTCATTACAGTCCTTGGCAACGGTCATTACAGTCCTTAGCAATGGTCATTGCAGTCCTTAGCAACGGTCATTACAGTCCTTGACAGCGGTCATTACAGTCCTTAGCAACGGTCATTACAGTGCTTAGCAACGGTCATTACAGTCCTTAGCAACGTTCATTACAGTCCTTGACAGCGGTAATTACAGTACTTAGCAACGGTCATTACAGTCCTTAGCAACGTTCATTACAGTCCTTGACAGCGGTCATTACAGTCCTTAGCAACGGTCATTACAGTGCTTAGCAACGGTCATTACAGTCCTTGGCAACGGTCATTACAGTCCTTGACAACGGTCTGTTCTACTGGATTAACAACATGTCACATGTTCTGAATCGACCAATCAGAACTTTATTTAGCCTCCGTATTGCTTATAGTTGAATGTGGGCCGCGAACATTTTAGATTCTTAAGTGGGCCCTAAGGTAAAAAGGTTGAAAACCGCTGGTCTACAGGAACATACATTTAAATACAGTGGGGCAAAAAAGTATTTAGTCAGCCACCAATTGTGCAAGTTCTCCCACTTAAAGAGATGAGAGGCCTGTAATTTTCATCCTAGGTACACTTCAACTATGAGAGACAGGATGGGGGGAAAGAATCCAGGAAATCACATTGTCTGATTTTTAAAGAATTTATTTGCTTATTTGATGGTGGAAAATAAGTATTTGGTCAATAACAAAAGTTCATCTCAATACTTTGTTATATACCCTTTGTTGGCAATGACAGAGGTCAAAGGTTTTCTGTAAGTCTTCACAAGGTGTTCACACACTGTTGCTGGTATGTTGGCCCATTCCTCCATGCAGATCTCCTCTAGAGCAGTGATGTTTTGGGGCTGTCGCTGGGCAACACAGACTTTCAACTCCCTCCAAAGATTTTCTATGGGGTTGAGATCTGGAGACTGGCTAGGCCACTCCAGGACCTTGAAATGCTTCTTACGAAGCCACTCCTTCGTTGCCCGGGCGGTGTGTTTGGGATCATTGTCATGCTGAAAGACCCAGCCACGTTTCATCTTCAATGCCCTTGCTGATGGAAGGAGGTTGTCACTCAAAATCTCACGATACATGGCCCCATTCATTCTTTCCTTTACACGGATCAGTGGTCCTGGTCCCTTTGCAGAGACACAGCCCCAAAGCACGATGTTTCCACCCCCATGTTTCACAGTAGGTGTTCTTTGGATGCAACTCAGCATTCTTTCTCCTCCAAACACGTCTAGTTGAGTTTTTACCAGAAAGTTCTATTTTGGTTTCATCTGACCATATGACATTCTCCCAATCCTCTTCTGGATCATCTAAATGCTCTCTAGCAGACTTCAGACGGGCCTGGACATGTACTGGCTTAAGCAAGGGGACATGTCTGGCACTGCAGGATTTGAGTCCCTGGCGGCGTAGTGTGTTACTGATGGTAGCCTTTGTTACTTTGGTCCCAGCTCTCTGCAGGTCATTGACTAGGTCCCCCCGTGTGGTTCTGGGATCTTTGCTCACCGTTCTTGTGATCATTCTGACCCCACGGGGTGAGATCTTGCGTGGAGCCCCAGATCGAGGGAGATTATCAGGGGTCTTGTATGTCTTCCATTTTCTAATAATTGCTCCCACAGTTGATTTCTTCACACCAAGCTGCTTACCTATTGCAGATTCAGTCTTCCCAGCCTGGTGCAGGTCTACCATTTAGTTTCTGGTGTCCTTTGACAGCTCTTTGGTCTTGGCCATAGTGGAGTTTGGAGTGTGACTGTTTGAGGTTGTGGACAGGTGTCTTTTATACTGATAACGAGTTCAAACAGGTGCCATTAATACAGTTAACGAGTGGAGGACAGAGGAGGCTCTTAAAGAAGAAGTTACAGGTCTGTGAGAGCCAGACATCTTGTTTGTTTGTAGGTGACCAAATACTTATTTTACAGAGGAATTTACCAATTCATTCATTAAAAATCCTACAATGTGATTTCCTGGATTCTTTCCCCCCATCCTGTCTCTCATAGTTGAAGTGTACCTAGGATGAAAATTACAGGCCTCTCATCTTTTTAAGTGGGAGAACTTGCACAATTGGTGGCTGACTAAATACTTTTTTGCCCCACTGTATGTTCCACTGTATGTGCATAGAAGACAAATAAAAAGTGCTATTAAAGCAGAATACCTTTGACTATTGCCCTACTGATATTTTCACTAAAATGTCTATTTTCATTCAAACCTGTAACAAAGGTCAAAAGTGAGAAATATGTAAAGTATTTGTTTGGAATGTAAATAACCCCAGAAGTTTAAAAACACTGTGGTATTGTGCAAGTGTACAAGGTGTTTACATTGAATTTATGTTGAGAAGTTGTGCAGTATAAGAGTAAGTGGGGGTGTTGAATTATAAGATATGAATCTGTTTATTTTATACCCTTATACTAAAAGTCACTTCCTGTATTGCCGTGATAAAATGGACATGCGCAATAAAACGTGTCACTTCCGGTTGAAGCAACGCCGACGGTGTGTGTGTATTTATTCCTTCATCATGTGGTAAACTATGTTCAAGGTATTCCTACCCTAAGATGGCATCGTCAACAACTTCCTTTGATTAATGCTGTCTCTCTGCAGGTGCTTCACGTTCGGCCTCGGGCAGACGGCCTGCAGGCGGCTGGTTCTCGGCCTGGCCTCCGTGTCCAGAGGAACCGCAGAGTTCCTGTCTGAGGGAGAGAGGCTGCAGCCCAAGGTATCAGATCTTGTTCTTGAGTAAAAGTAGAAGTACTCAGATCTTGTTCTTGAGTAAAAGTAGAAGTACTCAGATCTTGTACTTAAGTAAAAGTAGAAGTGCTCAGATCTTGTTCTTGAGTAAAAGTAGAAGTACTCAGATCTTGTACTTGAGTAAAAGTAGAAGTACTCAGATCTTGTACTTGAGTAAAAGTAGAAGTACTCAGATCTTGTACTTGAGTAAAAGTAGAAGTACTCAGATGTTGTACTTGAGTAAAAGTAGAAGTACTCAGGTCTTGTACTTGAGTAAAAGTAGAAGTACTCAGATCTTGTACTTCAGTAAAAGTAGAAGTACTCAGATCTTGTACTTTAGTTAAAGTAGAAGTACTCAGGTCTTGTACTTGAGTAAAAGTAGAAGTACTCAGATCTGGTGCTTGAGTAAAAGTAGAAGTACTCAGATCTTGTACTTGAGTAAAAGTAGAAGTACTCAGATCTTGTACTTGAGTAAAAGTAGAAGTACTCAGATCTTGTACTTGAGTAAAAGTAGAAGTACCAGAGTGTAGGAATACTCTGTTACAGTAAAAGTCCTGCATTCAAAATGTTCCTCAAGTGAAAGTAGAAAAGTATTCTCATCAAAATATAGTGAAAGTAGCGACAGTAAAAGTATTCATTGTGCAGATTGGTCCATTTCAGAATAATATATATGATATGTTTTATAATGATTGATCATGAAAGTGTTCTCAAAGCTGGTGAAGGTGCAGCTAGTTTGAAGTACTTTGTATACTGCAGGGTAGCTGGTGGATTTACTCCAGGTGGAACTAAAGTCTGATTCAACACTTGATTAGATTTCACATCATTCATCCAGATCTGTGAAGTAACTAAAGGGATTAAATACATGTAGTGGAATAGAAGTACACCATGTACCTCTGAACTGTAGTGAGTCGAAGTAAACCATGTACCTCTGAACTGTAGTGGAGTAGAAGTACACCATGTACCTCTGAACTGTAGTGAGTCGAAGTAAACCATGTACCTCTGAACTGTAGTGGAGTAGAAGTACACCATCTACCTCTGAACTGTAGTGGAGTAGAAGTACACCATGTACCTCTGAACTGTAGTGAGTAGAAGTACACCATCTACCTCTGAACTGTAGTGCAGTAGAAGTACACCATGTACCTCTGAACTGTAGTGGAGTAGAAGTACACCATCTACCTCTGAACTGTAGTGGAGTAGAAGTACACCATGTACCTCTGAACTGTAGTGGAGTAGAAGTACACCATCTACCTCTGAACTGTAGTGGAGTAGAAGTACACCATGTACCTCTGAACTGTAGTGAGTAGAAGTACAACCATCTACCTCTGAACTGTAGTGCAGTAGAAGTACACCATGTACCTCTGAACTGTAGTGGAGTAGAAGTACACCATCTACCTCTGAACTGTAGTGGAGTAGAAGTACACCATGTACCTCTGAACTGTAGTGAGTAGAAGTACACCATGTACCTCTGAACTGTAGAGGAATAGAAGTACACCATGTACCTCTGAACTGTAGTAGAAGTACACCATGTACCTCTGAACTGTAGAGGAGTAGAAGTACACAGTAGCATGGAAATACTCAAGTAAAGTACAAGTAGCTACAAATTGTACTTAAGTAAAAGCACGTAGTTACTTCCCACCTCTGTCCACAGATGATAAGGTCCCTGAAGAAGACCATGTGTCCGGTCCTCACTGATATCTCCATCGAGTGGCTGTTTCCGGAGACTAAAGAGGTTCTGCTGTCGCCGGTGGGGAACAACTTCCTGTTTCCTGGAGACAGTCTGATCGGGTACAGCGTGGTCTGTGACGCCACCAGATACCACAACAACCCCAAATCTGTGAGTAGGAACACTTTGTCATAGACTTCTATAGAATCTCATGTGTCTCCGGAGAGAGAGACTTTTTTTGGGAGACTTTCCTTAGGAGTGAAGAATCTTTTTAATCTTGTGTCTGTAACGTCTGTCCAGGATAAGAGGAGGAGATACTCCATGATGCGCTCCGTGGAGTCGGCCAGCTCGGTGTTTTTCCACTCTCAGGAGGAGGATCCTCTGAGGACCGGAGGGGAGAGCGAGTCCTTCAGGGACCCCCTGACCCCCCCAGAGCAGGACCCTGGAGGTGAGGAGACATCCAGGAGTACTGACAGACTTTATAACAACAGTTAAAGTATTTCCACTACAGCGCGGAGTGCGGTTTAAGCGTGCCGTGCCCGGCCCGTTTTTGGTTGCGTTTCCACTTGGCGTAGTTCCGGCTAGCGGGTACTTTTTCACAGTTTTTCTGGCTCTCCAAAATGGAGGTTCTTTCCGGGCCAACAACCAGGCTGAGTATTTCATTTCAAACCTTTATTTAACCAGATTGGTCCCATTGAGATCATAGATCTCTTTTTCAAGGGAGACCTGCAGCATATAGGTTCTATTGTTACAACCCGTGGGCTGTAACATAAAGCAGGGAGGCGAGACGAGAGGTAAGAATATATAGTTTTATTTGTTTAAACACAACAACTAAATGGACACGAGCAACAAGTCCCTGAAGCTGGCGCAGAGAGAGTGCCCAGAGGAGTGAGAGCCACGCAACCGGCTGGGCTCCTCCTTTATCCCGCTTCACCAGGTGTAGCTCATCAGGTAGGCGTCCGCCCACCGGCTCATCAGCACCTGAACCTGCGAACACCCACAAACCACACACACAAACAGACAGCACCCCACGTGGTGTGGAGGGGGTCGTCACACACATGAAACATAAAACAATAAAGGACATCATACATTATATTTACAGGATACATTTACATAGTTATAGACATTTACAAGTGCCCATAGTATCAACGAGCATTTCATTTAGCCTAGCTTTAAAAACATGCAGAGGAATGAGATCGCTCAGTTTCAATTCTCGCTGAAGATTGTTCCAAGCAAGTGGAGCTGCACATAAAAGCTGTCTTACCTAAGACAGTCCTTGCTCTTGGCACATCTAACAATACTACATCATGCCATCTCAGACAATAGCTGCTTGCAACTCTCTGTGTGATCAGAGAGCAGATATAATACGGGAGTTTACCCAACAAAGCTTTATAGATGAACGTGTACCAGTGACTGAGCCTCCGTGCAGTTAGTGAAAGCAGACCAGCCCTTGCATACAGGGTACAGTGATGAGTAAGTGCTTTACAGTTAGTGACAAATCTCAGTGCGCTGTGATACGCAGCATCTAACTTGTTCAGGCAATGGGCAGCAGGTGCATTCATATAGACCAGATCACCAGAGTCCAGCACAGGTCAAAGGTCACAGAGCCTTTTCCTGGCCTCAAGCGAGAAACAGGACTTGTTCCTGTAGAAGAAACCTAGCCTAACCCTCAGCTTTTTAAGCAGGTTATTGACCTGAAGTTTAAAAGTGAGACAATCATCAAGCCAGATACCCAGGTATTTGTAACAGGTAACCACTTCAAGTTTTATTCCTTGCGTAGTTACAATATCTAAAACAGGCTCTGTAGTCGTTTAGCTTTAGAAAAGAGCATTACCTTGGTTTTCTCAACATTTAAAAGAAGCTTTAGTTCAGAGAGCTGAGTCTGAATAATGTTAAAAACAGCCTGTAATTTAACACCAGCCTCCTGAATGGAGGGACCTGCACAGTACATCACGGTATCATCCGCATACAAATGTAAAGTAGCTTCATCCACATTTTCACCTAAACTGTTGATATGGAGAATAAAAGTGGACCTAAAACAGAACCTTGGGGAACACCATTAGCAATGTTTAACCACTCAGAAGACAGCCCATCAAAGTGAACACATTGGGACCTTTCAGAGAGGTAGTTCACAAACCACAAACCACTGGCTAGCCTCTGCTTTAAGATGTGATGATCGACGGTATCAAACGCTTTGGATAGGTCAATAAATAGAGCTGCACAACTCTGCTTATTGTCTAAAATACTCTCCACATCATTCACCACTTTCATTGTGGCAGTGATGGTGCTATGTTGTTTTCTGAAGCCTGACTGATGTTTAGACAGGATGTCATTGTTACATAAAAACTCCTTTACCTGTTCACTCACTAGGCGTTCAAGAACCTTGGCCAGAACTGACAACTTAGAGATTGGCCTATAGTTATTTAATAAGGTGGCCTCCCCTCCTTTTAGCGAAGGCAGGACATACGCTGACTTCCATACTTTTGGAATTGTGTTCGTGCTGAGGGAGAGGTTAAAAAGAGTAGTGAGAGGAGGAGCAATAAAATCTGCAGCTATCTTTAAAAAGAAAGGTTCTACGTTGTCCGGGCCGGCCGGTTTCTTAGGATCTGACTTGGTTAAAGCTTCACGAACAACATCAACAGTAAAAGGAGTAAAACTGAAAGGGTTTTCCAACACACGTTTTTCAGAGTCACCGACTGTAGTGTTCACAGAAGCAGAGTTAGTGACAGAATCAAATAGAGAACCACAGGACACAAAATGCTCATTAAAGCAATTTAGCATAGTAGCCCTGTCCGATATAGAGCCAGATGCTGTGGTAATAATAATAATAATAATTCCTTACATTTATTATAACGCTTTTCCAGATGCTCAAAGCGCTTTACAAATACACATTACACATATCATACATGCAATGGTCATGTACTGTGGACAATACCCACAGGAGCAAGTTCAGGTGAAGTGTCTTGCCCAAGGACACAACGGCTTTACAGACGCAGCAGCGGCGGGTTTCACCCCTTGATCTGATGATCATTGCACAGCGCACTGCGCCACACCGTCCATCTTCACGCCTCGAAGTCATCGAGGCGCTTTTACAAGTACACATTAGTATCATACATGTACTGTGGACAATACCCACAGGAGCAAATCCGGGTGAAGTGTCTTGCCCAAGGACACAACGGCCTGACGCAGTGGCGGCAGGAGCGGGTTTCGAACTGGAGTTCCCCAGCACCCCCCTTAATCTGATGATCAGATGCACAGACCACTGCGCCACCCGTCCCGTAATGCACGGAGGTAGCTCATTACGGATATCGCCGGTGGATAACGATTTAATGGCTTTCCAAAATGTTCCAGGATTATTCAGATTCTTTGTGGAAACTGACAGATAGTACTTTGATTTAGCACTTTTGAACATGTGAAGTGAAGCTATTCCTAAAACGCAGCCACTCTACCTCTGAGCCTGATCTCCTAGCCTTTGCCCAGGCCTTGTTTCTCTCATGCAGGAGACTGGACAGATTAGCAGAAAACCAAGGATTGTCTCGTCCCTTTACTCTAAATGTACGCAGGGGTGCATGTCTATCAATGATCTCCATAAAACCAAGATACAAATAAGACCATGCGGTTTCCACATCAACACACAGATCGATTTTACCCCAATCAAACCCAAACAGATCATGCACAAAACCCTGCTCCACAAAATGTTTTTTGTCTCTCTTAATGATAATGCGAGGTTTAACCTTTTGGACCTTAGTGTCCCTAATTGTGGCTACAACACAGTGATCGCTCAGATCATTTGCAAATACTCCCACAGATCAATCAATCAATCAATCAATCAATCAATGTTTATTTATAGCCCAATATCACAAATGTTACATTTGTCTCAGTGGACTTTACAGTTTGTACAACATATCAGTATGACAATACGACACCCTCTGTCCTTAGACCCTCTGTCCTTAGACCCTCACATCGTATAAGGAAAAACTTCCGAAGAAAACCCACAGTTTAAAGTGAACATGGGAGAAACCTCAGGGAGAGCAACAGAGGAGGGATCCCTCTCCCAGGACGGACAGACGTGCAATAGATGCCGTGTGTAAATTGAAAAGATAATACATTTGCAACATAGGTAGTCCAAATGTTTGGAAATGCATGTGTGTATAATAGGAAGATGAATCCACGAGGATATCCATCCAGGACCTATGATCCAGGACCACAGCCACGACTCAAGATCCAGGGCTCGCGATCCAGGACAGAGGACCGCAGGATCATCCATGACTCCGGATCCCGGCGTATACAGACACCAAAAAGAAAGACATTTGGGGAAGCTGGGTTAATCGGAACATGAGAGTACACAGGTATAGACAGAGAGAAGGAAGAAGTAAGATGTCCCCCGACAAACTAAGCCTATATCAGCAAAACTAGGGGCTGAATCTAATCAGCCCTAACTATAAGCTTTATCAAAAAGGAAGGTCTTAAGCGCACTCTTAAAAACGGATAGGGTGTCTGCCGCCCGAACACAAACTGGAAGCTGATTCCACAAATGTGGAGCTTGATAAGAAAAGGCTCTGGCTCCCATTGTACTTTTAGAGACTCTAGGAACAACCAACAACCCTGCATTCTTGGAACGCAATGCCCTAGTAGGACAGTAGGGTATAATGAGTTCTTTAAGGTAAGATGGCGCCTGCCCATTAAGGGCTTTGTAGGCGAGAAGAAGAATGTTAAATTCTATCCTGTGTTCTATAGGGAGCCAGTGTAAGGCAGCCAGAACAGGAGTAATGTGGTCCCTTTTCCTAACTCTGGTTAGTACACGAGCTGCAGCATTTTGAATCAGCTGAAGCCACTTGACTGACTTCTTGGTACACCCTGATAATAAAGAGTTACAATAATCCAGCCTTGAAGTAACAAATGCATGGACTAGTTTCTCTGCATCGTTTTGAGGCAAGATATGCCTGATTTTTGCGATGTTACGTAGATGGAAGTAGGCGGTCCTTGAAATTGATTTTATGTGGGCGTTAAAGGATAAATCCTGATCAAATATAACACCAAGATTCCTTACAGTCTCACTGGAGGCCAAATTAATGCCATCCATAGTTAGTATATCCTTAGATAATTTGTTTCGTAGATTCTTTGGGCCAAGTACAATAACTTCAGTTTTGGTCGTGTTTAACATCAAAAAGTTTAAGGTCATCCACGTTTTTAAGTCCTTAAGGCAGTCTTGAATTGTATTTAGATGATTAATTTCATCAGGCTTGATTGATAAATATAGTTGAGTATCATCCGCATAACAATGAAAGTTTACAGAATGATTCCTTATAATATTGCCTAACGGAAGCATATATAATGTGAACAAAATAGGTCCGAGCACTGAGCCCTGTGGCACTCCATGGCTAACTTTGGTTTGCGTGGAAGATTCATCATTGACACGTACAAACTGAGAGCGTTCAGATAGATAGG